GGACGTGGCGCAGCATCGCGACTGTCCGTGTCGGCACGCAGAGTGTGTTTAGGTTGTTGTCGTGGTGGTGGTGTGGCCGGGCACCCACCGCGAACTGTGCTTCCAGTCGGACGTGGCGCAGCGTCGCGACTGTCCGTCACAGTGAAAGTAGTCTGTGTCAAAGGTGTGTGAAACAAGTGTGAAACGGGAACGACACGATCACGATCGGCCGGACGAAAATCGTCATCGAGATCTGGGTCGTCGAAGTCTGGAATCGGAATGTCCCTAGGATCGATGGCCATCGAACCTGGATCCCGAAAGCAGATCTAAGGCCATCGCGCCGGGCTCATAACCTGCGGGAGCGCGCGGCGGCCCTTTTGGGGGGGCCTTGAGCCACGCACGGGGCGCGGCAACCCCTCCCGCAGTAGGAGGAGGAGGAGCGAGGAGGAGGAGGAGGGGGAGGAGGAAGAGGGGGAGGAGGAGGAGGAGGAGGAGGAGGAGGAGGAGGAGGAGGAGGAGGAGGAGGAGGAGGAGGAGGAGGAGGAGGGGGAGGAGGAGGAGGAGGACTAGGATGCGGAGGAGGAGGAGGAAGAGGAGGAGGAGGAGGAACAGGAGGAGGAGCAGGCGGACCAAGACGCAGACGCGGTTTTTGTGTCGTGTACGTGTTGTTCGTGCCTGTTTGCCCCGTGTGATTCCCGCGGCACTCCTGACAACAATCTTTCCCCAAGTGAACTCATCTGCACCTCCCCTCTTCCGCACTCACCACGTGGTACCTAGCACCAAATCTGTGATCCCGCATCGCATTTGATGTGCCAACCGCTTGGGCAGCTCGACTCAAATGGTGCGACCAGCTACAGTCACGAAGTTGATGGGCGCCAGCTTTCTGGAATTCTTTCTGCAAGCGTGGCCTTTGCGGTCCGTGGTGTTTGTGTTTGCCATCGCGCCAGGCTTTCAGCAAGAACGCCAAACGAACAGCACACACACACACACCCATACCCACAGAGAGGCCGGAGGGGGCTATGGGTGCGTGTTTTCAGATGAGGGTCCCTGGTCGAACGGGAGACCACCCCGCGGTTCGACAACCCGCACCCATATTTATTGCCAGTCCTCCTCCGTCCGACCCTCTTATGGGTATGTGTGTGCGTGTGTGCGCGCGTGCGTGTGTGCGTGTGTGTGAGAGAGAGGACTTGTGTGTGTGCGTGTGTGCGTGTGTGCGTGTGTGTTTGTGCGTGTGTGCGTGTGTGTGTGTGTGTGTGTGTGTGTGTGTGTGTGTGTGTGTGTGTGTGTGTGTGTGTGTGTGTGTGTGTGTGTGTGTGTGTGTGTGTGTGTGTGTGTGTGTGTGTGTGTGTGTGTGTGTTTGTGCGTGTGTGTGTGCGCGTGTGTGTGCATTTGTGTGCGTGTGTGTGTGTGTGTGTGCATGTGTGTGTGCGTGTTTGCGTGTGTGCGTGTGTGTGTGCGTGTCTGCGTGTGTGCGTGCGTGCGTGTGTGCGTGTGTGTGCGTGTGTGTGTGTGTGCGTGTGTGTGTGGTCGCGAGCGTACGTACGTTCGTGCGTTCGTGCGTCAGTGTATGTGTTTGTATGTGTGTGCCCGTGCGTATGCGCGTGAGTGTGCTTGTGCGTGTGCGTGTGCGTGTGCGTGTGCGTGTGCGTGTGCGTGTGCGTGTGCGTGTGCGTGTGCGTGTGTGTGTGTGTGTGTGTGTGTGTGTGTTGCTCGTTGGTCAAATTCGCCGGACGAAAAGTACCCTGGGCGATGCCCGGGCGATGCCCAGGCGCTACCCGGGCGATGCCCATGCGTTCCAGGAGCGCGCCTGGAGGGCGCGGGGACGACCCCCACACGGCCCAAGAGACCCCGAGTCACCGAAAGATCTTTCCAAAGGTCTCCAGATGGCCGCAGAGGCCACGAAAAAGCCCCAAGAGAGCCTCAAGAGGCTCTTCAAGAGTGCCCCAACAAGCAAGAATCGTCCATTCCTTCCAGCAAACGTGCATTTTTCGCATGTGCGACGTTTGGGGGTTCACAGCGTCCACAACTGCCCCAGAGAACTACAACATCGTCCCCAGACGGTGAGACGGCCCAAGAGGCGCCCACGACAGCCCAAGAGGGCCCGAAAACGTCCCAAGAGGGGCCCAAGGAGGGGGCCAGGAACCGAAAAGTCCAGCCTTCAGCCCCAAGAGGCACCCAGAAGACCCCAAGAGGCCCCCAACAGCCCCCAGGGGGCCCCCAAGAGGCCCCCAATGGGGCCCCAAGAGGCACCTCAAGAAGCCCTCAGAAGCCCCAAGAGGCCCCGACACTGCCCCCAAGAGGCTTCAAACTGCCTCCCAGAGGCCCCCGAGAGGCCAACCACGAGAGCACAATCAGCATCCATGAGGCCTCCGAACGGCCCAGGAGGCCCCCCAAGACGGCCCAGGAGGCTTTTAAGACGCCCAAGATGGCCTCCAAGACGGCCCTCTTGGATTCCAAGAGGGCCCCAGGTCGGCCCAGAGAGGCCCCCCAAACGGCTTCCGACGGGCCAGGAGCCCACCAAGACAGCCGAAGATGGCCCTAAGATGGCCCAAGACGGCCCAAGAGGCTTCCAAGAGGGCCTCCGGGAAGGCCCGAAAAGGCCAAAAGGATTGTGGCATTTGTTTTTTTTCGGCCTTCCGACGGCCCGAGACGGCCCAAGTGCCCCCAAAGATCGCGCAAGAGGCCCAAGAGAGGCCCCCAAAACGACCCAAGAGGCCTCCAAGACGGCCCAAGAGCCCTCGAAGACGTCCTCCAAGAAGGCCCGAAAGGGCCAAAATGACCTTCAAGATGCCCACGTGTTCCCCGAAGGCTTTCCAAACCGATTCGGGGAACACGTGGTCCGATAGCTTGGCAGGTCTGGCCTCAACGTTCGGCCACATATGCGCTTCCAAACAGGCAGGGGGCGGCGGTGATTCGCCGTAGGCGTCTTCGATCCGCCGCCCCCTGTTGATTCATCACAGGGGTGCCTGGCGTGCCAAACCCTTTCGGTTTGGGTTTTGGTTCTTTTTCCAAAAGAACTCCCCCTAGGGCTCCGGCGCGTCCCGCTGGGGTCCCAGAAGGATTGCCCAGGATCTTCCAGAGCCGGTTGCAAAGGGTTTTTCTGCCCCAGACGTCTCCAAGATGGCCCAAGATGGCCTCCACGATGTTTCCAAGACTGCCAAGATGGCCTCCAAGACGGCTAAGATGGCCCCAAGATGCCTCCAAGATGGCCCAAGATGTACCCAAGATGGCGTAAGATAGCCTCAAGATGGCCCAAGACTGCCCAAGAGGCCTCAATACGGCCCAAGAGGTCTCCAAGAGGTCTCCAAGAGGTCCTCAAGAGGTCCTCCAGGAGGGCCCGAAGAGGCGAAAATCATTGATGTTCCTCAGGTTGTTGAAGGATTTTGGCATTTGCCTCTTCTCGGCAGTCCACCGGCTCAAGATGGCCCAAGAGGCCGCCAAGATTGCCCAAGATCGCCCACGAGGCCTCCAAGATGGCCCCATGACGGCCCAAGAGGCCCCCAAGACGGCCCCAAGAGGGCACCAAGACGGGCCAAGAGGCCTCCAAGACGCCCAAGATGGCCTCCAAGACGGCCCTGAAGCGCCCCAAGAGGGCCCCCAGCCGGTTCAGAGAGGCCCCCAAGACGGCTCCCGATGGCGTCAGACGGGCCAGGAACCCACCAAGATAGCCGAATTTGGCTCGAAGCAGGCTCAAGACGGCCCAAGAGGCTTCCAAGAGGGCCTGCAGGAAGGCCAGGAAAGGCCAAAACATTGATTTTTAATAAGTTTTTGAAGGATTTTGACATTTGCTTCTTTCGCCCTTCCGACGGCCCGAGACGGCACAAGAGCCCCCAAAGATCGCCCAAAGATCACCCAAAGATCGCCCAAGAGGCCTCCAAGAAGGCCCCAGAACGGCCCAAGAGGCCCCCAAGACGGCCCCAAGATGGCCCCCAAGACGGCCCAGGAGGCTTTTAAGACGCCCAAGATGGCCTCCAAGACGGCCCTCTTGGATTCCAAGAGGGCCCCAGGTCGGCCCAGAGAGGCCCCCAAACGGCTTCCGACGGCGTCAAACGGGCCAGGAGCCCACCAAGATGGCCGAAGTTGGGTCGAAGTTGGCCCACGACGGCCCCAGATGCCTCCAAGAGGGCCTGCAGGAGGCCAAACAACACTGATTTTCCATAAGTGTTTGAATGTGTGTGTGGCATTTACTTTTTTACGCCTTCCGACGGCCCGAGACGGCCCAAGTGCCCCCAAAGATAGATCGCCGAAGAGGCCCAAGACAGCCCCAAGAGGCCCCCAAGACGGCCCAAGAGGCCTCCAAGACGCTCAAGATGACCTCCAAGACGGCCCAAGAGCCCTCGAAGACGTCCTCCAAGAAGGCCCGAAAGGACCAAAATGTTCTCCCGACGGCCAAGATGACCTTCAAGATGCCCACGTGTTCCCCGAAGGCTTTCCAAGCCGATTCGGGGAACACGTGGTCCGATAGCTTGGCAGGACATGGGCGCTTCCAAAAAGGCAGGGGGCGGCGATGATTCGGCGTAGGCGTCTTCGATAGTCAACAGCCCGACCTAGCAGCATTGCATTGACAGCGATCACTCGGGCAATATGGCAGCGCTCCAAGTGGAACTCGTCGAACGATCGGTCCGAGACACCCACGACGGCTTCCAGACGGCCCACGACGCGTACAAGACCCCCGACGAGGCCACCTGTGGAAGGGATGAGTGTGGTTGAGAGCCTATCTGCATGTGCTCATCCCCTTGAGGACAGAGCCCGCACTAGGAGTCGGGATGCCCCCCAGAGACGCGTGCGCCTTGAGGGCAGCGCACAGTGAGGTTAGAGGTAGAGAGATGCGGGCGTCGCCACCGGCATGGCCTGCAACATCTGCACACCACCAAGAGGCTTCCCGAGAGAGTCCCAAGAGGCACACTCGACAAACGACAGCGGCGAGGCAGTCTATATGTGTGTATATATATATATATGTATACACATATATGGGCCAGCGGAATGAGCGAAGCGATTCAATCATGCAATTCTCGCCGCAGGATGCTCAGGGCCATCGTGCACCAGCAGAGGAAGGGCGGCGGTGGCAGGAGCACCCGGCTGGACATCTCCGGGTACGGGGAGAACGGCCGGGGGCAGGTCTTCCTGTTCCTCCGCTCCCCTGGTTCTCATGCGGAGAGGGACGGGAGGAGGATTCCGGCGATTCCAGCAAACGGATGTTGCACGATGGGAGGAGGGGAGGAGGCAGGAGCAGGAGCAGGAGGAGGAGGAGGAGGAGGAGGAGGAAGAGAGGAGGAGGAGGAGGAGGAGGAGGAGGAGGAGGAGGAGGAGGAGGAGCAGGAGCATGAGCAGCAGGAGCAGCAGGAGCAGCAGGAGCAGGAGGAGGAGGAGGAGAGGAGGAGGAGGAGGAGGAGGAGGAGGAGGAGGAGGAGGAGGAGGAGTAAGAAGAGGAAGAAGAAGACGACGAAGACGAATCATACTAGTAAGAATAATAGGACTAAGAATAAGAATCGTAAGAATAAGACGAAGCAGAAGAAGAAGAGGAGGAGGAGGTTGGAGGAGGGAGGACTCTGGCGAGGCCTGCCGAGTCCGGCTGGGGCCACCTCGCCTTGCCACTTGTCGGGAGGGGAAAAGAGACACACAGACACGACTGCTCCCCGGAAAAGATGGCAGCCTATGAGAAGCGTGGGGGGGAGACGAGAGGTCAAGAACATGTGAGAATGCTGGGGAACCTGGGATTTGTGTGCGGTAGGTTTGCGTCGTGTCGACCAGCGGCGACCCCAGCGCGGGCGTTCAAGGTTGAACGCCGCCGGCGACCCAGAATCGATCGATGTTGAACGATCGGACGTTGCGGCAGCGGCCGATCGTTCAAGGTTGAACGATCCCCGCGGTGTCAGAAACCAACGCCGGGGTCGACACGACGCGAACCTGCCGTGCATTCATTTGTGTGCCCCTGGGCCCCTGCCACCTGCCAGCGGTGGCGTCGGCCCAGGGCCTCGCGCCCCCCGCCCGCGGACCCCCGCGCGGCAGAGGTCCGACTCGGAGCGGACCGTGGGCCGAGGCAGGGCGAGTGCGGCTGCTGACGAGGACTCCGCCGGCGTCCTCCTCCACCTCCTCCCTCCTCCTCCTCCTCCTCCTCCTTCTCCTCCTCCCTCCCTCCTCCCTCCTCCCTCCTCCCTCCTCCTCCTCCTCCTCCTCTTCCTCCTCCACCTCCTCCTCCTCCACCTCCTCCTCCTCCACCTCCTCCTCCTCCACCACCTCCTCCTCCTCCTCTTCCGTAGCCGTTTGGCTCAAGATGCCTAGTTCCACAGTGGAACAAGTGGATACCGCTAGTCCGCGGCCAGTGCCAGGGCTCTTGAGCCCGACAGCTTTGTTCAACCCTCCGTGTGCCTCCTGCAGCCCGCAGGTGAGCTTCCTCTGTTCCTCAGCTCGTCCATGGCGCCTCCGCAGCAGCGCAGCGCCTACGTCAAGTGCTACTCCTGCTCGTACGCCTGGAACTACAAGACCAACCAGACGTGCTACTGGTGCAGCAAAGCCTTGGCGCCGTGGACAGATTCCCCGCCTCCAGTTCAAGGTGCCTGGGCGGCCCGCGCCAAGGCCGCAGCCCAGGCCGACTCCAGCTGCACCCAGCAGACCAGCCCTGAGGGTGGATGGGAACCGTGGGCTTCATGGCCCAAGTCCCGCCGCCGCCGCGGCAATGGCAATGGCAATGGCAAGAACCAAGATGACGACTGGTGGGCCAACAAGAACGACACCCCCAAGGCGCGCTCCGCAGAGGACATCCTTGCGGAGCTCCAGGCGATCGCCCCCCACATCGACAAGGCAGCCATCGACGGTATCAAGTCGCAGATTCCGCCGCCCCAGCCGCAGAAGCCAGCCGACCTCAACGACATCTACAGCCGCGCCCAGGCTACGGAGCGCCGCTGCAAGAACAACCTGGAGAGGCTGCTCGAGAGCGAGCAACAGGCGCTCAGCTGGTACACCGAGCGCAAGGCGGCGGCGGAGGAGGCCGCCTACAAGTTGGCAGAAGCCCAGGCCGAGGCCCAAGCCGCTCTCGATGCACTCCAAGTCGCTCGCAGGGGCGGCACTGCTACTCCCACGGCCTCGCAGCAGAACCCGACGTTCAACCTCACCAGCCTCCTCGAGGACGGTGACATATCCATCGAAGCGGGTTCGGCGTTCGATCTCCAAGGCCTTGACATCGACGACAGCGACCGCCAGGCATGGGAATCCCTCCAACAGTGCTTCGCCACGGAGCTCAAGGCCAAGGTCACCGAGCTCTTCGGCAACACCGCCAGCCGCATCAGCCAGCTCCGCGCAGAGGCCAGCACCATGCGCACGCGCTTCGCCTCCAAGCGGCAGCGGTCCGACGAGGACGGTCACGCCCGAGAGGGAGGTGGACCACCGCCCGCCGCCCCGGCGGCAGCAGGCGAACCCCCAGCGGCAGCCGCAGCGGACGCTGATGGCTCTGCGGCCTCTTCGCCAGCGGCGCCAAGCGACGAACCTCCCGCACCTGCTGCTGGCGCTACTTCTGACGGCAGCTTCGCCGCACAGCCTGTACCAGCGATCAACAAGGACCCCGACCTCGAAGACAAGGCACAGAAGATGCTCAGCCAGATGCGCAAGCCCACCGCGACCGCCGTGGCTGGAGCCCAGCAGCCTCTTTAGCCGACTACTACCCGACCCTGGACGGATTGGTGGGACGGGACGCCTACCGTCAGAGACCAAGAGCTACGACAACCCACCGATCATCAACAGAATGGACGCAGTCCTCGACCCGTTCGACGAGCTGGCCGAGTTGGACGCCCACATCGTTTTCGCAGCCACAGCGCAGTACGCTACCGCCCCGCCCGAGACGCTGTCCTCGGTTGGGGGCGATGAGGCGGCACAGGCCGTCGACACAGTGACATGGGACCCAGGGCAGCCGCAGCGTGCCGCGCGAGCCGACCCTGATGCCGCTCCGCCCGAGACGCTGTCCTCGGTAGGGAGCGATGAGACGGCCCAAGCTGTCGACAGGCATATGGTACAGGTACCAGGGGAGCCGTTGCCAACGGCACACCCTGATGCCGCCCCGCCCAAGACGCAGTCCTTGGTAGGGGGCGATGAGATGGCGAAAGCTATCGACTCGACCGCTGCGAAAGGCCCTGGGAGGCCCAGCAGCCAGAGACCCGACCCCAGGCCCGTCTACCAAGACGAAGGCCCTACGAATCCCTTGCCGTCAGATCACTCCCTGTTCTTCTCCAACATTACTCAGTGGGGGCCACAGTCGGAGAAATGGCTGGCAGGGCCAGGCAAACAATATCAGATGGTGGCATTGGTTGAAACACACATCTCGCATGGTAAAGCCCCTCTCATCTACGACAAGCTAGCAGCGGATGGCTGGAGGATATCATCGACTACAGCCACGCCGACCAGCAGATCCGACGGAGGCAACACGGGTGGCGAGATTATCCTCTCCAGGTACCATGTCCAGGCCACAACCTTCAACCACCTCCGCGACCTGGCCATCTCCCAGCGCAGGCCCGACCCGTTCCGCGGCTTCACGCCCATGGTATGGCACAGACGCTCTGGCAACCTGGTTGTTATTGCAGCGTATCTGGAACCCCACAGGCAGATCGAGGGTGCAGTGCATGATAAGTTACTCTCGCTGGGAGCCTTCGTTACTATGCTCACCTTGGAATATGACACCTGAGCAGCTCGCAGCAACAGAGTGGCCCGCCAAATGGAATGCTACCATCGTGCGAGCGCCTGGATCCGCCACGTGCGACAAGGGCCAGGGACTCACGCTCGACTTCGCATTGGTCAAGACTGGCATCGAGCACACGCTCTCCATTCGCCAGTGCCCCACCGTCCCCTGGGCCACCCACGTGGGCCTTGAAGTTCGAGCAGGCAGCGCAGACCCCTGGTGGTATCAGTCGATCCATACCCCTAGGGTATTCCCCATAGTGGACAGACCTAGGACCCCACCAGACCCCAACAGCAAGACCGCCATCAAGAAACGTAAAACAGCAGAAGCTCGTGCAGCACGCCTACGCGATCTACCTCCTGAACTCCAACAAGCAGCAGCACAACCCCAGCCACAAGACGACCCAGCAGCACAGGAGCATATCCCGTACGCTCTCCCGAGCGACCTCTGGGGGGAACAATGGCAGCAAGCTGTGCCCACACGTTGTAAGCAGCCTCACGCGCACTTCGTGTACACTCACTGGGTGCACGACGCCGACGACCTCAACCTCAAGTACGCCAAATGGGTCACGGCGCTCGAGAACACCATGATCAGCCACCACCAGATCGACCCCAAGGAAGCCGCAGCATTCACAGGCCGAGCCCATGGCTACCAATTGTCTTGGAAGAAGACGGCCGCCGCCCCAGGCCGCGTACACGTACATGACCCTCAGTCGGAATGGTGGGCAATCACGCTCACCCTCATCAAGCGCTACGCTGCGCTTCACGACAAGCCCAAGCACGCAGCGCTCATGCAGCAGCAGGCCTCCATCATCCAGCAGCGCGCGGACCACTTCAACACTCACTTTCACGACCTCCAGTTCGAGAAGGACGAGGACACCATTTTCCGCTGGTTTGCACTCGTCTGGGCCCCGCACTTGGACAATGAGGACACCGACGACTTGGTCACTATTACCGCTATTTGGGCCTCCAGAGCGCTCTCCGCCGCCCTCGCTAAGTCCAAGAGGGCTTACGGTGTTTGGCTCGCCAAGCAATGGAAACACCGCCCTGGAGTACTACACGCCCATGTCAAGCCTGCGCCCGTACGTCACATCGAGGCCTACACGACCAACCAGACCATCGCCGACCCCACCGTCATCATGGACAGCAAGAAGCAACAATGACAACAAGTATGGCAGGCCACCGAGACCCCCGACGACATCCTACAGGCGCGGTCAAAGGCCAAGGCAGCAGCCGCTCGCCAACCGCTCGAGCCCATCACAGCCGAGATCGTACACCGCTTCCACGGCCGCATGCCACCCAGTAAAGCACATGGAGTTGACGCCCTTGGACCTCGCGACCTCCATCGACTACCAGAACCAGCAGTCGAAGCCTATGCGGATATCCTCAACGCAGTAGAGCATGCAGGCATCTGGCCACTACAAATCTCAGGCACTATTGCAGCCCTCGCAGCCAAGAAGTCTGGAGGCGACAGGGTCCTCGGCATGCTACCTCACATGGCCAGACTCTGGTCTCGCATCAGATCGACTGCATCTACATCCTGGACCCAAGGCCTGGACGACTTCTGGACTACAGCCATCAAAGGTTCCTCAGCTCTCCAGGCCGCCCTACACAGGGCCTTGTTAGACGAGACAGCCTCAGCACTTGGCATACAGTCAGCCACATTGCTATTAGACATCCAGAAGTTCTACGACAATATCAAGCTCGCCAACCTCATTATGGTCGGCCTCAACTGCGGCCTCCCCCCCATCATTCTACTACTGGAAGTGCAGCTATACCTGGCGCCCAGATTCTTGCGCAGTCGACAATGGGTGAGTATGCCTATCTTCGCCTCCAAAGGCATCATCGCAGGCTCCCCGCACGGCACGACCTTGGCACGACTCATGTTACTCCCTATTCTACGGCAAGCCCAAGCTCAGGCAGAGCTTGCCCAGATGTGGACCTTCGTAGACGACGCTGTCCTTCGAGTCGAAGGAGTCCTACGCACACTACAGAAGCACCTCCCCCGTGCCGCCAAGACGCTCTGCGACGGTCTGAAGGAGTTCGAGCTGCCTATCTCCGACAAGACGGACCTCATCGGCTCCACCCCCAAGGTCCGCAAATCGCTAGCCAAGAAGTTGCGGCAGTACGACATCCCAGTTACTGCGACCGCCACGGCCGTCGACCTCGGAGTTGACGCGGCAGCGGCTACTCGACGGGTACAAGCCAAAGCCAGGAAGCGACAGAGCTCAGCCGCAGCTAGGTTTCGCAAGATACACCGACTACGGAGCACTGCACAGCAGGCTCGAATCTCAGCAGGGCTGTGGCGCACTGGCGCTCTCCCCGAAGGAGTTTTCGGTCATCAGGTGCACGGCCTCGCTCGGCACGCTCTACTACGATGGCGGCGTCAGGCCGCCATCGCGGC